ACACCATTCTCGAGCTCATTCCCTCCTGCCGTTAAAGGACAGTCATGAACTCTGTGTGTCACTCCCCGCTCGCCTCGTGACCCTCTCTTGGGTGCACACCATGCGTCACCCTTTCCTCGATGCCTCCCGTCGAGCCCCTTCTCTACTTCTTTCACCTTTCCTCACTGCAGCTTCTCATCCTTATGCGTATCTGCCTACACTACAAGAAACAGCACATATGCACACAAACGCAGTAAAAGAGGAAGTGTCAATCATTTTCCCTTCCTCGCCAGTCAGGTTCTTCAGGCACGGCAGAAGTTGAATTAATTCTCCTGGAATACTCCAACGAGACAGGAGAGACCTGACATATCCCTGGGACCTTTGTCCCCCCACACTGGGATAGTTGCTTTCGTTTTCAGCAGCTCCACAGTAAACACATCAACGTTCGAAAGAAATAGAGGAGTTACTATGTCCACACCCTCACATATAACGCCCGTACCGCCAGTCTCTTAACTAGTCAAGACATGATTCGAATCGCAACATCTACACGAGAGATAACATTCCGCACAAGATTATTGTATACACAGTGTACGGCTTAAACTATAGTAGAATATACTGTAGTCACCAAACTTTGAAAGAGGGAATCGCAGATTCTCGCCAGGAGGTCAGCAGCCGCTGCTCCCAGAAGTACCACTAGGCGCAATCCTACACCAGACCAACACAACCCCAGTGAAATCTTCAGCAGCCACTACTACCGGCTTTAACAATATGCTGCAGATTGCAACAGTAACTAGGTCATCTGTAGTGAAGTGTTTGGGCCCATATGACAGAGCGAAACAAACAGTGCTGTAGTTATGTCCGATTCTGGTGTTAAACAGTCGGCCTGCTGTTGCGAATGAACCGAACCTGCAGCTACTCAGCGTGGCTCAGTCCGTCGCTCCACCCACGAGGAGCTAAAGTTCCTGTCACACACTCCTGAATATTTGGACGTTTAAAAAGATGGAGTAGGATAATTTGGTCCGCAGTGCTTTGGGGTTCGGCTGTTCTGCCTTCAGAGTGCGACGCAGACACAGCGCTTGCGTCTCTTAAGAAGCTCTGCCGCTGTCCCTCCCCCGAGATTCCCCTGTGACGGGCCGAGTGACCGTTCCAAGCTTTAACTCACTCCCGATGCCCTGGACAGACGGACCTGTCCCTCTCGCCTGTCTCTCTGAACTGGCCTGGGAAACAGATTTCCTGTGTACACGCACCTTCCACGCAGAAGGGGACAGGCCCCGGCGCGCACCGGCAGAGACGAAGAAGTTTGTAAGGAGCACGCGGAGCGAAACAGAGAGGATGAGGAAGTGACATCGTGTTTAGGTGCCACGAAGGAGGTACCGTCGGACTGATTGTTCTTCCTGTGAGTTAAAGCAACGCCAGGAGCAGCGAGGGAGGAAGGGCCTCGAGCGCCGCGCCGATGCTTCCCGCCCAGCGCACTCGTGTGGTCTCTGGGTCCAGGACTCGAACTGCACTCGCTGCACGTAGCACACACACCTCTTGTGTTGTGTGTCAGCCTCCTCCACGCAGCCGTCGCGTGCTCTCGCGCTCCCCTGTGTTCCTCACATGGAAAACGCTGACTACTGATAAGTGAGTCAGTCGCAGTACTCTAAAGCCAACTCCAGATGTCCAGATTAAATTCTCACTTGTTTTTTTTATTGGTCTGTCCCAACAAATGGCAATGAGAGGACGTAGCAGGTTGCTGGCTCCCAGGCTGGAGAAACCATAAAAACAAAACTGTGAACCGGGTGGTGGAACCACCAGATGTATTCAGCTCGTTATAGGTGCACTGTATGAGCAGGTAGGTACTTTGCATTCCAGGCTGTTTACTCACCTTTCTACCTTAGACCACAGACCAGTGCTCGACACACGGCCAGCCACGGGCATATCCTCGAATCACAAGAATCACTTGCACGCCACTCTCCTGAGCGAGGGCAACCACAGATCTTTCAATTGCTGCCTCAACCTACATATCACAACCCGACTTGCAAGCGCACTGTCGCAACGCCCCGAGTAATGTTGAGTACCACCACGCTCTTTCTGTTATGACCAAACTAGTTAGTCCTGCCTGTGGCTCTTCGCTTTAGAGAACTGCGACAGGATGCCTCAGACCTCGCATAGTGTTGGCACATTGAGCATAGATTCAGCCACCTCCACAGAATAAGTCCGCTATATGGAGCAAGACTGATCTACATAATTAGCCTCTGGCTGATTTGGACAATATACCTCGGAGTGGTTCTCTGGGCTTATGTTAAGTTACACAACAGTCTGTTTACCAACCGCAGACCAGTGGCCCCACATTTCTACTCGCCAGAGGTCTAGTTACGAGATCTAGCCACCTAGTTAACCCGCTCAACTACCTCGCCCACAACCCCGACTCCTTTAAAACACTGCAAACTTCTTAGAGTTTTTTGAGTGAGGAGAACTTGTTCCTTCTGATTCCCCTTTTTCCAAAATAGCACAGACAGAATTCGTTCGTGAGGCTATGCCTAGCGAAGCGCCACATCTAGCCATGTCGAGTAATCCCTGTGTACTTAAAGGAGCTGAGATCCCCCCGCCACTCCAGGAGAAACTGTGGTGCAGGTCTCACGCTGCCGGGTGTAGGCCCCACTGTGTACGCCTCTCGCTCTCGCTGTAGACTACATTCCAGCGCGGGTCTCTGTAGTGAATCCTTATGATACCAGCGTTACAGATCAGAGAGTTGAACATAAGAGAGAACAAATACATATATACAATACAATATAATAAGACAACAACAAAAAAACTACAACTATCCGAGCCAAACCTAGCCGCCAAGCATGTCATCGCTGCCAATTCTCGCGGTTGAGAATGGAGAAAGTACCGCGCGTACGGCAGCCCTGCAGATACCTCCTCGTCTTTGAAGTGTAGGACTCAGATTCTAGCCACAGGGATGCGATTGGGTGTGCGCTTTTGGGAGTGGCCACTGTTCAGCGTTAAACGCAGCAACCCGCAACGGAGGATCGCGGCAGTTGACGAACCACTGCCGTCGCAGAGCAGCAACTGGACTTACAAGCAAGCGTCAATCCGCGCCTATAACACTCGGCGTGCTGCACCTCGTCGCTTGTTATCCACGCCGTGGATTTTTCCAAAATAAAACATCGCCATGCAAACCTCGCTATTTGTCACAACGGCATCTAAACAGCCGAAAGCAGTCTGAAGCTACGTAGCGTTCGTAAACCCATCTGGGTAGAAAACACATACCCATCATGGAATATCAATGCACAATACATAATCTTGAGATTAGCTCGTTGCGCTTCCTTCTTTCCCGCCCGCCCGCCCCAGTATTGAACCTTTTTAACTCGTCAATGTTGATCTGTTGAATCACTTTTGTGTCCAGTGCTGATCACAACGCTGAGGAACGTGGAGATAATAGAGAGATGCTTGTGGAAATGCGGGGCGATCGATCCCGGCTACCCCCTCTCTGCCATCCTGGTGTACGTGAACTGTTCATGTTAGCTCGTTCTTGTCTTGGTGTTTTTCATGGGCCTGGCACCAGGTTTGCGTCTTTGCGCCACTCGTGGTTATTGATTAAATCAGATAAAATACCTCAAGAATTGTTTCAGATAGTAATTTAATATCAAATCAGACCCACTAGTAACCCCTAAGTAACCCAATTCAACCAGACTCACCTTGAACCAACTGCAAATCTTCTAGAGTTTTCTGAGTGAGGAGACAACTTTAGAAACGCATACATTTTTAAATTAAAAGCTGTTTTACAGACAATGTTAAGCGGGATAGTCTGAAGTGTCAGTGAGGATTTCTCTGCCTAAGCTCTGGCGCAGTTGAACATGCTGATATATTACTAAACAACGAACACTGGCAGTTTTAGCCATCAGTTCATAACAAAAGCAGCGAATAGAACAATGAACTCACTGTCCCTGATGGAGATAAGATGGAATGATCACCGAAATTAACCAGACCTCAACTGCCACGCTGACCATTTGATGTACCGCTTCACTTGCACAAGTCGCATGGACTGAAATGCATTATGGCTGACTATACACTTCTGGAATCGACGGCGTCCGTTCTTGATCTCGCCCCCTGT